GGAGGCGAGTAGTGTTCATGTCTGACACCTTGAAAAGCCTGTGGCTTTATGTCATGATGATAGGCCAGCACAGGACAATTTTGACTAAAGATAAATTTGTGTCATCAAATCTAAGAGTTTCAGAACAACACACACATTTCTGATGACTAATTAAAATGGAACTGTTAATCTTTTCTATGGAAATACACACATAATCTTAATTCATTTTGCCACAAAAAAGGTGTTTAGCTTTATTGAATAATGGCTCCACCTAGAAAGCTTTTTATCATTATCATCACCATCATCCTCATCACCATCTTCATCATGGCTGAAGTATATTCAGTGTTTATGGTGTACCGGGACCATGATTGAAGCCTTTCCTGCACTATCACACTTAAGCTACACAACTGTTCAAGGATGCACTACCATTATCTCCATCTTACACTTGGAAAAGAGAGTCATCTAGCTATTAATAATAAGTGTACAGAGTTAGGATTTGAAGCTATGTTGGCCTTTAGATTGCATGCCTTTAAAACTATCCCACACTTAAGTAAAGTAAAAAAAAAAAAAAAAATTTAAATAAATGAGGAAGAGACAACATAAAACTGTGAATGAGCTATGCATCCTGGAATTGCCTTTCAATTGACAAATTAAAATAAAGCCTTACAGTAGCTAGTCTCCAGAGATGGCCCCAAACATTTCCACCTTTTCCTATATGTTCATATTGATCTTTCCATGAAGAGATGGTGCATGTGGTCCTCCCCTTGAGTCTGCTATGTCTCTGATGGCTTTAACAAATGTAATTCAGGGCAGTTGACATCTGTGTCCTTTGAACTTAGGCATTAAGAAGGCCTGGCATGGTTAATTGATATTTGACGAAAGTACCAAGGTAATTCAATGGGGAATGAATGGTCATTTCAACAAATGGTACTGGGGCAAGAGGATAGTTGCAAATAAAGGAATGAGGTTGGACTCTTACCTCACGCCTTGTAGAAACATTAACTCAAAATGGATCATAGAACTAAATGCAAGAGCTAAAACTATGAAATAATCAGATAAAAACTTAGTAGTAAATCTTCATGGGCTTGAGTTAAAGAATGGGTTCCAAAAGGTGACACCAAAAACACATGTGACAAAAGAGAGAAATGGATAAATTAGACGATATCAAAATTAGAAACTTTTGGACTAAGGTAATACCACCAGGAAAGTGAAAAACAAGCCACAAAATGGGTGAAAGTGTTCGCAAAATCATATGTCTGTTAAGACTTGCATCTTGAATATACAAAGACCACTTAAAATTTAATAATAAAGACACAAGTAATCTAATTTGAAAGTGGGGAAAGGGTCTGAGTAGATATTTTTCCACAAATGGACAAATAAGCACATGAAAACATGCTCAACATAATCAATTATTAGGAAAATGCAAATCAAAACCACACTGAGATTCCACACCTACTAGTATGGCTGTAATAAAAAAAAATGATAACAAATGTTGGTGAGGATGTGGAGAAATTAGAACTCATACTTTACTGGAGGAATGTAAAATGGAACAACTACTTCGGAAAATAGTTTGATAGTTTCTCCAAAGGCTAAATAGAGCTACAATATGACCCAGCAATTCTACTTCTAGGTTTCTATTCTAGAGAAATGAAATATACGTCCACCCAAAAATTTGTATATGAATGTGGTATATCCAACTCTCTTTATATACCAAATACCATTGAACTGTACATATGAAATGGTATTGCCTCGTAAGTGGATTATCACCACAAAGAAACTACAAAAATGTCCTGGCAGTACCTGTGTCCTCCCTCTTCAGCTCTGCCTCAGTGATCAGCCTGCCTCATGGGAAAGAAAAGCTATGTTGACTTAGGAGCAGCACAGGGCCAGCCACCTCTGTCCTGGCCACCTTCTGCCTGCAATTGCATGAGATACTCCAGCAAGACTGATAGAGGAACTGCCCAGTTGAGCCCCAAGCAACCCACAGAATCTTGAGATATAATTAAATGGGGGTTGTTTAAATCCACCAAGTGTAGGGGTAGCTTGTTATGTAGCAAAACATAATTGGAACAAGTACTAAATCAAACTCTTACTTTAACACTGTGACTACATATGAATACTAAAATCAAATCATGAAAGGCTTTGTCTATAAGAGAGGAACCTGACTTGATTTTAAGAGGAAATGAAATAAGGAAGAGCGAAGGGTGGTGGTGTGTGTTTTAATAATGTGGCAAGCTGAGCTAATCCAGGCAGGCCTGCCAACTGGGCTCTTTTCTTGGCAGCAGCAGCTGACCAACCACTTGTCTGGGGGCCACCAGCTACTTAGCAGGAGCTCTAGAGAACTGACAGGTCATGTTTCTGATTATAGGAAGTGACACCAGTAAACTTGCATCCCCTTGTCCTCTCGACACCCTGAAAGGAAAATCGCTGACCTGGAAGAGTGGTTAGAAACAGAGATAAAGGCCAGGCGTCTGTGTCTGAATCTTAAATTGCTAAGGTGGAGACTCTTGATTCATCTCACCTCCACACAGGGTCATCCTAGGGGGGGTCATTTTTAATTATTCTCTTAGAGAATAATGCATAGCAGGGCAATGCATAGAAATGAGTTTTATTCGTTCATTCAGGAAATACTTTTTGAGCACCTATTGTGCTAGAAACATCTGTAAACCTTTTTGTCTAAAAGCTTTCAATTATGAGTAGGTTATTCCCCTAGGGCTCTGAAAAGGGACTTGGAAGGGGCATGTGGTCCATATTTGAGGAATTGGAGAGAGCTTCTTAGAGGAAATAATGTATGAAACTGGAAATCTTAGGAGGCTAATTTTAGGTCTAGTTTCACTCCAAAATACCTTATTTGAGGGTCAAAAGAAATGAAGAAATGGTGGTATTCCTATTTGGGCATATAAATGGGCTCTTCAGTTCTCCTTTCTAGAGTCCCATTTCCAATGTAGGCTCTAGGTGTACCTCTATGTGGCTTTATTCCATGCCGTTTATTTCCAGAACTTTCCAGTATTGTCTTCTTTTCTTTAAAATTTACCTTTATTGTTGAAAGAATTACAGATGCCCCCTTGTGTGATTTTTCCCATTGACCCCCTCAACCCTGCACCTGCCCCTCCCAGGCCTTCACCAAACTTACATCTGTGCCCATGGGTTATACATACTAGTATATGCATATAAATTCCCAGGTTAATCTCTCCTCATCTCACCCCCGCCTTCCCTCTGAGATTTCACAATCTGTTTCAAGCTTCTATGTCTCTGGATCTATTTTGTTCATTAGATTCAACATCTGAGTGAGATCGTGTGATTCTTATCTTTCTCAAACTGCCTTAATTTGCTTAGCATAATACTCTCCAGGTCCATCCATGCTGTTGCAAATGATAAAAGTTTCTTATTTTTTTTATTGCTGCATAGTTTTCCTTTGTGTAAATGTACCACAGCTTTTTCATCCACTCATCTGCTGATGGGCACTTGGGCTGTTTCCAAATCTTAGTTATTGTAAATTGTGCTGCTATGAACGTAAGGATGCATATATTTTTTTTGATTAGTGCAGAACATTCCAGTATTTGTTCATTGTTCTTTCAGTACTTTTTGAGTGGTGTGATGTGTCTCTTTTTCTGTGTGTGTGTGTTGTTGTTGTTTTTTTACATCTTTTTGCCATTGCTCATTGGTATGAATGTTATCTCTTCCTATAAAACAAATCATTCCCAAACTTAGTAGTTTAAGGCAACAATTAGGTATTATTTCTCTGGATTCTGTGGATTCTGTGTTGTTTACCTTATTGCTTTCATCTCGGGCTCATTCATATGGTTGTTGGAAAGTCAGCTGGGCAGGAAGGTCTGGATAGCCTCATTTACATGTTCGAGAATTGGTGCTGGCTATTGCCTGAGCATCTCAGTTCTCACTGTGACCTCTTTACCTCCAGTAGGTAGGACTTGCTTTCTTACAAGGTGGTCTCATCATGGCATTACAAGGCGTGAAGGTGGGAGCTGCAGGTTCAGTGCAGTTCACAAAGCCAGCCCAGGTTCAAGGGAAGGGGAAGTAGACTCAGTCTCTTGATGGGAGAAGCAGTGAAGTCGTGTTGGAAAGAAGCATGAGACTAGAGAATGTCTTATGATTTTGACACTTGTGTTGATGCATATGTAACAGTTGTCCTTTTCATCTTCTAAGAAGGGCCTGGTTATTATTATATTAAATATAATTCTTATTGTTCACACCAACTCAGTTGTTACTAACCCTGGGAAAGCAGCCTTATAGTTATTTCTTTCCAGTGTGTGTGTGTGTGTGTGTGTGTGTGTGTGTGTGAGAGAGAGAGAGAGAGAGAGAGAGAGAGAGAGAGAGAGAGAGAGAGAGACACATTGATTTGTTGTTTCATTTATTTATGCATTCCCTGGTTGATTCTTGAATGTGCCCTGACCAGGGATTGACTCCACAGTGATGGTGTTGAGACAGTGCTCTAACCAACTGAGCTGTCTGGCCAGGTTCTTGTAGCTCTTCTCTTAAGGATGGTAATCTCATCATGGGAGCCCTGACTTCATGAAATAATCACCTCCCAAATTTCCCATCTCTAAATACCATCACACTGGGCATTACCGTTTCAGTATATGAATTTTAGAAAGACACAGACCTTCAGCCCACAGCAATATGGAACATCAATTTGGGAAATGGGTTAATGCCTTTGGGAAAGAAATGGGCTAAAGCCTTTGTAGAAAGGTAGGGTGGGACTTGGTCAGTAAATTGTAAAACCGAATGCAATTTGTTAATGCTAAAGTTCTATGGCATTTTCAGGTGTTTTTTTTTTTTTTCTTCTTCTTTCTTTTTTTTCTTCTAATTACTAGGGGGAAAGCATCTTGTTCACATCTGAAGCAGATCCTTCTCTTAAAAATTACAGTTGTGGCAGCACATGACAGCCATATCTGTCTGTCTGACAACTTTGCTGTGATGTCTCACAGAAGCCTAGGATGTAGGACTTCAAATGAGCTCTTCTCCTTTTGTATAGGTTTATTTTTTTCCTTTTTCCCTCTTAGGCTGATGAGCCCTGAAAACACACTCCTGCAGCCCCGGGAAGAGGAGGGGGTCAAGTATGAGCGCACCTTCATGGCATCTGAATTCCTGGATTGGCTGGTTCAGGAAGGCGAGGCCACCACAAGGAAAGAGGCAGAGCAACTATGCCACCGGCTTATGGAGTATGGCATCATACAGCATGGTGAGTGCATGGGTCAGTTTTTGCTGTGATAACAAGCAAACCTAAAATCTTGTGGATTACCACCATAAACATTTACTTCTCATAGGTCTATAAGTCAACTGTGCCTCTGCTTGGGCTCGGCTTAGCTAGAGGTAAAGTTCCATGCCATCCCATTTTGGGACCTTAAAGGAAATTCCACTCTTTGGGATATATTGTTTTTACAAATGTGGGCAGAAGCTAAAGAGGGCAGGCAGATCCTTGTAGCATCTCTAAAAAGTTATATTTGATATGATTTAACATTACTAATCCCATATTCCCATTGACTACAGGATCTAAGCTGGTCAGGTCTGAAGGGGAATTAATGCCTTTCACAATGTTGCTTGCAAAGAGAGAATGAAAATTTGCTGAAATGGAGAAGGGGCTTGGGGGAACTGGGTGGAAAATGTGAAGTACAAATTGGTAATTGCAAAATAGTCACGGGTTGTAAAATACAGCTTAGGGAGAATAGTTAATAATATTGCAATAACTATGCATGATACCAGGTGGGTACTGGAAATATCAGGGGGAGCACTTTGTAAAGTATATGATTGTCTAACCACTATGGTGTATACCTGAAATTAATGCAAAATAATACAAATGTAAACTTAATTGAAAAATACATTTTAAATTTAAAAAGAAAGAAAATCAACCATGCATGGTATGAGCTGCCACAGTGAAGAAGTAATCCAAATGACCTTCATAAAACTTTCACTTTCTTTTTCGGGCTGAATCATAATGATGCAATATAACCTATGGCTAAGAACTATATTAGTTATCTATTGCTGCATAGAAAATGATCCCAAAACTTAATGGCAGAAAATAATAGGAAATAATATTTTTTCACACAGTTTCTGTGGGTCAGGAATTTGGGAGTGACTTAGCTGGGTGGATTTCTCTTGAGGTCTTCATGAGGTTGTAGTCAAGATGTCAGTGGGACATTTATACTCTGGCATACTATGCAGCTATAAAAAAAGAGGGACCTCTTACCCTTTGGGACAGCATAGATGGATCTGGAAAATATTATGCTATGTGAAATAAGCCAATATGAGAAAGACAAATATCACATGATCTCACTTATTTGTGGAATCTAACAAACAAAATGAATTGACCAACAAAATAAGATCCAAAGCATGGAGGCATAGAACAGACTGACATACCTTGATGTGGGGTTGTGGGGACAAGAAGAGATAAACCAGAGAACTTATATACTTATATGCATATCCCATGGACATGGGCAATAGACCTCAGGACGGGGGAGGGGAGAGTAGGGGCTGAGAGGAGGGAGTTAAAGGAGGGGACAACATGAGATATCTGTATACTATCAACAATAAAAAATATACATGTATATAAGAAAAAGATATGAGTGGTGCTACCTGAAAGCTTGACAGGCTGGATAGAGGATCTGCTTCCACAGTGGCTCACTTGTGTGCCTAACAAGTTGATGCTGGTTGTTGGCAGGAAGTGACAGTCCATTGCTATGTAGACTTCTTCATAAGGCTGCTTGAGAATTCTCAGGACATGGCAACTTGGCTTCTTCTAGAGGGAGTTGTCCAACAGAGTGCAAGACAAAAGCCATAGTGTTTTCTAACTGAGCCTAGAAAGTCACACACTGTCCCTTCCTCAATACTCTGTTGCTTACCAGGTCAGTGTGAACCCCAGGAGGATGGATCACTGGAACCATCTTGGAGGCTGGCTGACACAAGAACATAATATCTGGGACCTCAGCTCCACCAGTTATTAGCTACTTATCTCCTATCATCTGTGAAATGGGAATCCCTGCATAGAGTGGTTCCAGGAGTATGTGGGATTAGATATAAAATACTTGGTTCAGTGTTCTGTTTTTAATAAGTGCTCTAACATTTATTAACATAACGGCAAGGTGTAGGCTCAGAATGGTGAGAAAAGGGTTGGGAATAAGATAGGCATTTTAGCCTAAGCCAGGATGAAAGATAATACTTTAATACTTGAGGCATTCTTCCTTTGAATTCCATGCTCCCTCTTCCGTGGGGGGGAGGGTGTGTGTGTGTGGGGAAACCCCGCTATTCCCAAGGCTGGGAAGATAACAGTGGAATTTTAGAGAGAGATTAAGAAACTTTTGAAATTACTTGGAGCTGTGTTTTACAAACAGCAGATTGCAACTCTTTTTTTTATTAGGCTATGAAATAAATTTAGAAAGACATTCCAGCAATAAAAATTATTTTAAATAGACTAGACTACACTCTTACTACTCAAAGTGTGGTCCATGGACCAGAGTGTCATGGGGAGCGTGATAGAAATGAAGACTCTTTGAATCCGACCTATATTTTAGCATGACCTCCAAGTGATTTGAATGCCCATGAAAGTTTGAGATGCCCTTTAACTGAGTTTAACTAGAAAATATCAGAGCCTATTTTATGTAGTAAAGTTAAGTACTCTTTTGCAAAACTTTAATTTCAGTTAAATATACACTCTATAAGCATATAGACATGTTCATGTGTGTATTGATTAGCAGCATAAAAACTGTGTTGGGGTCAAGTATTTTGAAAGCCACTGATCTGGTGGCATTGGTTAGAAAGGCACTTGGTGTATTTGGGGGTTTACTCCTCTTCAATATTGCGTGGTCAAACTCATAACTGTTTATTATGGCCTAATATGTCAACTGCTGGGTTAAGTTCACTGCAGGTGGAAGGTAGGTAGAAAAATATAGTGCCAGTGTGGTACCTGGTCTTAAACAGTTTATAGTCTTTGGGGGAGATAATAAGATGAATATAGAAGCGATTAGAGAACTGTAAGAAGATATATTATATATTCTTCATTCATTTATTCACTCATTCAATACTATGTCAGGCACTATTCTAATAATTTTTATGCATATTAACTTATTTAAACCTATTAAACTCTTTGAGGCAGATACCGTATTTTTCAGACCATAAGACGCACTTTTTCCCCCCCAGAAGTGGGGGGAAAAAGTCCCTGCGTCTTATGGTCCAAATATAGCCTACACATATACTTTTAAAAAAAAGTTTTTTTACTTGCCCGGCTCTGTGTGGTCTCTGTGTGCTTGCCCGGCTCTAAAATGGTTCTAAATGCTGCTGTTTACTTTACAGGGTTGATTACATGTGTTTATGACTGTGATGTTGGGTTTTAATGCACATAAAATATTTTAGGACACTATTTGTTTCAGAATCTTTTTTTCTTCATTTCCCTTCTCTAAAAACTGGTGCGTCTTATGGTCCGGAGCGTCTTATGGTCCGAAAAATACGGTATTATTTTTGTTGTTAAATTTATGTGTGTGTGTGTGTGTGTGTGTGTGTGTGTGTTAAGAACATCTAACATGAAGCCAATCCTCTTAACAAGCTTTTACATGCACAACATAGTACACAATTATAGGGCAGGTATTCTATCATCTCCATTTTAGAGATAAGGAAACAAAGACACCAATAGGTTACATAATTTGTATGAGGCCCATTGGGTAGGAATTTCCAAATGGATAATACTGCTAGTACATGTGAACCCAGAGTTGGTTGGGATGATGGAGGTTTTCCACAGTGAAAAATGGTGTGTATGGGTTGGAGTTAGTTCTGTCATTTTGGCTCCAGAAAGAAAACTTGGTGGCACCAAATTTTAGGAGGAAACCAACCCTTTCTGCTACAATTTACTGACTAATAACTGCACATCTCGACTTCAGAGAGAAGATAGAGGATGACATGAATTGTTTCCAAATGATTTCCAAAGAGTGAGTAATTATACTTCAATTAAGTATAAGTGTGTAATGGCTATAAACATAAATGCCATAAAACCATAATGGAAAGGATAGAATCAGGCAGATCTTAGCCACAGAAGTTTGCTTTCCATGGTTTTGGGAGGATTGAATATTCTCTCCATATAGAAGTTGGAGTTTCTAAGGGAGTTCCAGTTTCCCAGAACAGTCATTCATTGCTAGATCTCAAGTTCTAACTATAAGCTAGGCAAATGTGGCCGCCACTTATTTTATATGAGAGCTAATGATGAATGCCATGTAGTGTCTTAAGCAAAGCTCTGAAATGTCCAGCTAATGATTAATTTCACAGGTTAAGCATTAAAGAAAATCATCCTTAAGACTTTGAGTAGCCGAAACCAGTTTGGCTCCGTGGTAGAGCGTCAGTCTGCGGACTGAAAGGTCCCAGGTTCGATTCCGGTCAGGGGCATGTGCATTGGATGCGGGCACATCCCCGGAGGGGGGTGTGCAAGAGGCGGCTGGTCGATGTTTCTCTCTCATCGATGTTTCTAGCTCTCTATCTCTCTCCCTTCCTCTCTGTAAGAAATCAATAAAAATATATTAAAAAAAAAAGACTTTGAGTAGATTTCTGAGTAAGAGTGGTTCCTTAGATTGAAACCAGCAGATGTAAAATCAGACCCACTTATTAAATTGTAACTAGCTTCATTTATAAATAGTGAATGAAGCTCTATAATTAATGCAGAACTAGATGATTAATTAACTGTTATGCACATGTATGTATCAATATATACAAGTGTATGTATACATGTACATATATATATATATATATATATATATGTTGGCCATGTATGTTCATATTTATCTAGTTGTTTCATTCATTGAGATTTACATTGTACCAGGCACTGAACTAAATAATTTATAGATTTTAATATATTATATATTTAATATGTATATGTTTCACATATATGACATATAAAATCATATTAAATCTTCAAAACAATTCTATGACATTGGTATTATTATTATAATAATTTTACAGTAATACATCTGAAGTTCAAAAGCCTTCTAGATATTTAACCAAAGTTGCATAGCCACCCATAGCTACAGTCATTGTGCCTTAGAAAGTTTTCTTTGGCCCAGAATGTGTGTAATCAGGTGTGGGTGCGTGACACACTGGAATGAACATGATCTTTGGACGGAGACAGGCAGGATTTAGTTCCCAGCTCTTTCACCTACTGAGTGGCCATGTCAACAACTTAACTCTCCCATTCCTCAGGTTATTAGA